AGGATTAAGCAAACCCTGAGCGAAGCTACTCTTATTATTCCTTCCATTAATTTTATTATATAATTATTACTCATCTATAGTACGATTTCAAAATTAAAACATATTTCTTCTTTTTAATCTTGAAATAAAGCTTATTTAAGCTTAGTTTCCTCCCTTTAATCGCTTACTTATATTATTTTTCAGATTTGTAATGGTCTAGATTGTTACTATTCTAAGATAACGGTTATGTACGGTAGATTTAATCTTATATTTATCAGCTAGATAATCTGCAAGCCGCTTAACTTCTATCTGTGTAAAACTATCTGTACATAGATAAAGTCCCCGGGAAGTACCACGAGACCCATCCTGCATTATTCAATGAGCAAAAGCAAGGGGAGTTAATAGTGATAATTAGTTGGGACTATTTTACCCTATTTAAATAAAAAATATATAAAATTCTAAGATAGTAGAGCCTTAGAAAAAAAAATTTTTTAATGACTTTATTGCTTTATAATGTACTATGTCCCCTCATACCCTCTTAATAATATATTGTAATTGTTTACCCGGTAGGCAAACGGGTTTATCTTAAATAAAATTCACAAGGTTTTCCCCGTATAGTCTCTGAGGTTCCTCTTTTTCAGCGTCTCACTGAAGGAGACAAAAGAATTACCTGCAAATCATATCAAACTAACGATTGTTACGTAATCTAACCTTATTTCTTTTTGCTTTTGAAGGCGAACCTACACATATTATTTTCAATAGGTCCGTTTATATAGTTTATATAAACAAATTGAAACAATATAGAGAAAAAGGATCGTACATTAGTTTATAGATACTTCCTTGCATATAGGGAAATTATTCTCCTCAATGTTACCACTAAGGACGACGTCGTACATTATTAATTAGATTCCCAATTTGTATAACAAAATATGTGCGTTAGATACTCATCTATCACTGAGCTGATTTTAGCTGCTATACCCATCCTGCAGGATTCCATGGGCGAAAGCAATGGGAATTAATACTGACAGTAAGCTTGAACGATTTTCCGTATTAAAATAAAAAGTGTATAAAGTTCTATTAACATAGGTAGAGCCTTATAAAACCAATTTGCACCTAAAAGCCATGGGAAGTTTGCACACGAAATTACCCCCTATTATTTCTGGGAAAGAGGAGGTATTTCTTTTCCCACAGGGCCGGTAAAGACAATAGATTTAAAGAAAAAGAAAAAAAAAGAAATTAAGCGGTTGGCTACCGCTGAAAAAAAAAAAGAAAATTGGTGAACGTAGGATTAGAAAACTGTATAAATCATCATCCATTAGCTTGAAACATGTTGTCTACTAAATGGAATAGAATCATAATCTTAACTCTCTCTTCCTCTGTTAATCCCCTTTTTTATTTTTTTTAATTGCTCAAGGCCTTCTCCTGTAAGATGACCTTTGGCTTTAATTATCTCTGCTGCTTTGCACCAATCAACGAAATCCAAAAATTTAGTTCCTTGCAATGGATATTTATTAAAAAATGGTATAATTTGTGTATTAATATCTTCAATGGACGATACAATAAATCTAACAAAAACCTTTGTTGAATTTTTACTAGAAATGGTTCAACCACACTTAAGATATTTTATTAAACTATCCATTAAAACAATATCACGAGAGTCTTGAGTAATAGCCATCCGTAATTGAACACAAAATCCTATTTTATGTGTTCTAGATTTTGAAAGACTTACTTCCCAACAACCCTCCCCTTCCATAAAGCCTGTTAATCAATAAGGATGAGGAATTTCAGTACATTTAATGGAAGGTCTTGCGATAGGAGTAATATCAGGGAAAGCCTCAACCAATGCAGGAGTTAATCCCCAATTAAGAGATCCCCTTATACTTACAATCTTATGTAAACCTTCAATAGTACTATGCTCTTTACTATTAATTAGATCGATTATCATTTTAAAAAGTTCAAAGTCAGCTCTTTTTTGAGTTAACAATGGATACTTACAAAAATGAGGAATTATAACATTAGTTAAATCTTTTACAGAATGCACTCAATAAGTAACAGTTCCTTTATCTTTCTTTATTTGGATTCTACCAACACCAAAAAAAGCATGGACTTTTTCTAATAAGTAAATATCCCGAATATTTAACTCAATTGCAAAACGTGGTTCTACACTCCAACCAATTTTAAATTTATTATTTTTACGAACGGATATCATAAAACAGGCTTCACCATCTGAAAACCCAGTAATAAATCAAGGGTCTAATTTTCGGCTAGTTAGAGACAAAGAAGCTAAGCCAACCATACCTAAAGATAAGCCAGCAAAAGGTGAAAAGAAATTTTCCTGTAAATCGCAAATTGGTTCTGACGCCCCCAATCATAATGTTCCAATAACTGATATGATGAGTCCGTTGATTATGAGTGCCAATATAACTATTCCTAGCATACGGTACACACGGGATCGTCCTGGTAAACTTAGATCTCTAATCACAGTTCATAGCATTGATTGTCTATAAGGGCCGTTCCAAATATTAGCAGCAGCATTTACTAATACGCCTAACAGAGCTACAATACTGGTTTCTATTAAAAGAAGATTAAAGGCTAAGAATTGTAAGGCTGGCTCCGCCATAACTCATAATCGGTTGTTGTTTTTTAATATTTTTTTCATTTCATAATTTTTTCATTGTTTTCTTAATCTATTTATTATTTTACCTGAAATCCCTAGGCTAGTAACATAAGACTTACTAACCTAGTAAACTATAACTACGCTAAATACGTTGATTTAAAATACCCTAATGTCTTTAACCTTTATTCGACACTTCGGTACACACGAGATCTTCCTCATGATTATAGTCCTCCCAATCCTATCCGTATTATTTGTAGACTCAAACTAAAGTTCCCCTTTAGCTAATGAATCGAACATCCAAGATTTAAACGCACCAGCGTATCTATAAACAACACACTTAATCAGAATATATCTTCCCAGGTAAGGCTGGCTTCGTCATAATTTTATCTCAAAAAATTTATATAATTATAGTTACTTATATGATTTGCTCTGTTTTTATTCCTAGTTAGATAGGAAACATCCCTCCCCTGACTTATGTAAGAATCCTACTTGTGCTCTAATCGACGGTAGGGGAAGACTCCATCATAAGCGTAGCTGAGCTCCCCCCCCCTCCGAATTAAAATAAAAAAGTCTATAAAGTTCTGTTAACATAGGTAGAGCCTTAGATCAAAAATTTAACGATTTATATGTTTTTCCTGTTCTTTTATCTACATAAGAATACTCTCTGTATTTAGAAGAACATATAGAAAACAACAAACTATTTACAAAAATAAAATAGTCTTTTTGTGCTTCAGATTGCGTAAAGCCAAATCTGGCGTTAATGCCTCTGTGCGGAGGAAGCGCTAATGCTGCGTTTTTTATGAAAAGCTGTTCTTTCTTGAAGGTGAACGTTGGATAATAAAGCTTCTATATAAATACATTAGCTTGAAACATATTGTCTACTAAACGGAGTAGAAAAAATTTTTTCATTCCGCTTGCTCTAATTTTCCCCCAAGCTTTAGCTTGCTTGGGAGGAAAAATATATAAATATATTTTATAGAAAATGAAGGAAGAGCTTCGCACCCCACTTTTTAATATATCGTGTATTAATTTATCTCCTCCTCATCGATGAGAGGAGGAGATAAAAAGGAGTTAAGCATCCTTCCGGGCAGAAAATAGCGAATCGTAATCTTAACTCTCTCTACTTGTGTTCATTCCTGCCTTAATTAAACGAATCTGATCTAACCCATCTTTTGTAAGATGACCACCAACTTTCATTATCTCAGCAGCCTTTTTAAAATCTGCGTAATCCAATGCCTTAGCCCCAACAATTGGATAGTTTTCGAAGAACGGAATAATCTTTTCAACGATATCAGATCATTTTGTAACGATAAATTCCCCAGAATCCCGGGAGGAGACTGAACAATAGTTACCGCAATCCAAATATTCCTTTAAACTTTTAATTAACTCCTGATCTCGAGAATTTTGACTTATTCGAATCTTTAATCTAACTGCAAAGCCGGTTTTGGTTCTAGGAGAATTTGCAATTCCAATATAAAAACAACCCTCTCCACCTACAAACCCAGCTAGCCAATTAGGGTCTTTGATTTCTTGATCTACAACTAAAGGTCTTGCTACAGGTTTAGTGTGAGGGAAAGCTGCTAGAAGCGTATCTGACAAGCCATGGTTTATTGAAGCCCTTATATTTACAATTTCTTGTAAACCAGCAGAAGTTAGATGCTCTTTACGATTCATGATATCTACAACACGTTTTCAAAGTTGGTAGTCAGCTCATTTTTGAGTTATTAATGGATATTTATCAAAATGATCAATTACCTTCTTTAATTCCTGAAGAGACTTTACTCTAAATTGGCAACTATCTTCGCCTTTCTCAAGGATTATACCAACGCCACCTAAAGATAATTGTATTTGTTTCAACAAACCTATATCTCTTATGTGCAGATGTATTTCAAAAAAAGCTCGTACCTCTCACCCTGTTTTTAATTCTTTATTTTTACAAATGCTAATTATGAATGACCCTTCACCATCTGTAAAACCAGTGATAAACCAAGCGTGAAGCGGAGTTAAATGTGAAAGACAGCGCGTAGAATCTGTAGTAAGACTATTTAAATTTTTTTTCATATTATTATTTATTATATTTTTAGTTTGGTTTATTTTTTATATTTGCTTATATGCTATCATATTCTCTATATTTATTTAATATTAATTTACTTTTTTTTTAATAAGCTTGCGTGCGGCGAACCCGATGGCTGAAACAAGTTAGCGCAGCAAGCTAAGGGTGGAACAGTGTAAAAAGCTAACAATTAAGGTACAATACATAGTAAAATATAATTAACTCCTCGTACCGGAGGGAAGGGATTTTTCTAGTAGATGCAAGAACGTTGATCTACGATCATCCCATTTCTGCTTAAAACTCTTGAAAGCAGACCCCTCTTGTAGAAAGTTTAATCTTTTACTATTTGCATATGTGATATAGGACTTTAACCTATGCTTTTTCGTGTGTAAAACGAACGCTCTAACATCTGAGCTAACCACATACTCCCCCCCCTTTTATATTCGGAAGTTTATTTTATTTATGTTTATTTGTTTCTTATAGGATTTACGATTTTTTTACAAAAGGCGTAGCTCCCCTCCCCAAATAAAATTTCTCTAATACGGTTATTATTTTCCGGTGTTCTGTCAGAATTAATTCCCTCACTATCAGAAACTACTTTATTTGAGTTATTTTCCTGCGAAGCTGACCCCTCCGGGGTGAGCGTAGTGCTAACATTTTGGGAATAAAGAATTAAAAATGACTTTAATTTATCTAAACCTACAGTGTACATGTGGTGCGGGTAAAAATTTTTTTATCTATCTCTGTTAATTTGAGTTAGGATTGTTTAATAGTAGATATATTTAAGGCTTTACGTATATTATACTCTTCTCCTTAATTCCATCCTTTTTATAGATAGGATCACTAAATCTAGTGGTCTTTTAATCTTATCTCCAATAAACGAAATTTATTAAACCCAGTGGACTATATCTTCATCTTTTTTAAGCAAGTTTATCACCTGTTTTACCTGTGATACTGTTTGTTAAATTTATTTCCTTTTTAATTTTTCGAATTTCTGCAAGTCCTTCTGCAGTTAAGTGTGCTTTATTGCACACTAATTCATAAACTGTAACTCATTTATTAAAAGAGATTTGTTTTTTAGTTTTCAATCTATGATTATTCAAATATTCTATTATAGGCTTAATTCTAACAAATGAATTAGTTTCAACACGATACATTTCACCAGATTTTCCTCCTTTAAGCTTTCTTTCTGATAAGATCATGTCTCATTGATTTTTTATAAATGTTAAAGTCTCAAAGCTATCCTTTTGGTCTATCATGAATCTTAATTTTACTTGATAACCTAAAGTCATAGTCGCTCTCTTAAACAGTGTAACGTTAAAACAACCCTCAGCATCAATAAGCCCAGATAATCAAGAATTAGATAGTAAAGGAAGAACGAATCTTGTTATTTCAGGTATATTTTTAGCAATAAGTCATCTCTTCAATTGAATTTTTCTTTTTTCTAATACTAAATTACCATTGAATAAAGCGATTAGAATAAGAATTTCATTTGGATTAGTGACAATAAAGCGCCCAAATGCCTTAAATTCAATCACTTTACCTATGCCTAAGGTTTTTTGAATATGATGTAAGATTGGTATTTCCTTTTGAGTTAATACAAATCTAGGGTAAGCACCATTCATAATAATAGCCCCATCACCTTCAGAAAACCCAATAAACCATATCAATCAAGCATCAGATACCATATCTGCAGTGATACCTGTTAATGATCGAAAGGCTTCTAATTTAAAAGATGTTTCGCGTGTAGTCTCTGAGGTTCTCTTGTCAGTTTCCTTATTTTTATCTGGAGTCTCGTTAGGAGAACTTGCGCCCCCCGAAGCCTTCGTGTGTAAACAAGATAAAGAGACCTTTTTGTATATACTTCATATTTTTTGGTATATTATAAATACACCGAAAAATAAGTATAACACACCGAGAAATAATAAGCTCCGATGGGGTCTAAGCAAAGCCAACATACACATATAGTCTCGATCTGTTTCAACTAAGCTAAGCAAAATAAGCAAACTAAGATTACCTGCTGATTCAGCATAACCTATGAGATTTTCACTATAAAAAGTACTCATAGAATTTAAGCTATTCCAGCATACAGCGAAATTTATTACTTCTACCTCACGGTAGAAGAGAGCCACCACTATTTGACTCCAAACTACAAATCCTAATACACCAATAGACATCATTGCGTAAACCATACCTAGATACTATTCAACTTAATGAAAATGGACCATCTCTTTGTCAACTAAAAAATTACTCAATATCTCCTTCGGCGCCTCCCTCCCCCCTTAACCCCCCCCGCCTCTCCTCCATATTCTATATCATCTTCTCCCCCTCCCCCTCTTTCTTTCTTTCATTTGTCCTAGCCATTAAAACGGCTAGGACAAATGATAGAAATCAAGAGGGGGAGGGGGGAAGGGGGATTGGGGGAGAAGATGAGAAGAGAATAGGAGGAGAGAAGGGGACACGTTTCAATATATAATTATAGATAATAAATAAATATAATATATATATATTGAAACTTTTCCCAAGCGAAGCTGACTCCCCCTCAAGGGTGCGGTATCTCTGACGACGTAGCAAAGCTACGTAGTCAGGGTACCTGCACCCCCTCTCTCTTCTTACCCCCTCTACTTATACAACAAAGTCCTTGACTATGTTGTATAAGAATAGAGGGGGGGAGTACTAGCCAATGGGTAGGGCAAATAAGAGAGAGAGAGAGGGGGAGGGACAGGCTCCGCCTTAGCGGGGGTCAGCTTCGCCCTGATTGACGTAGCAAGATAGTAAACTAGCTTGCTAGGAATGAAGTGAGGGGGGCGAATACCAAAAAAAGAAGGGAAAAATATATATTCTCTTATTCCCCCCTCCAATCTCCCCCTCTCTCTCTTCATTATTGGGGGTAGGGGGAAATAATGAAAGAAGAGAGGGGGGAGGGTTAGGAGCTAGGGAGCGATATATATTTTTCTTTCCCTCACCCGCCCTCCCCAAAGGGGGGACTCGGGGTAAATCGTAAGGTAAAAAAAAGCAAAAGAAGTTACAGGCTTGTAACTTCTTTTACTTTTTGTTTTTTTACTTCGGTTCAGTGCCCCTATTAAGATATATAAAACATACATTAGTACGTTTTATATGTACTTAATAGGGGCGCTGAACTAAAGTTTGAATTAATTAAACCTTACCACCTTTTAACTATGTTAAAAGTCACCCTCCCACTCCCCCTTACCCCACTGCACGTATTTGTGTGCAGTGGGGAAAGGGGGAAAGGAGACCATTCTCTCTCTCCCTGACTACATATCAAGGTACACAAATATATATATTTGTGTACTTTTATCCTTCTTCTTCTTCGAAGAAGAAGGAGAAGGCAAGAAAAAATATATATATTTTTTCTTTTTTCTTAAAAATATGTAAGGAGAGAGAGAGAAAGGAAGTTTCAATTTTATGTCTTCGTTCAGTGCCCCTATTAAGATATATAAAACATACATTAGTACGTTTTATATGTACTTAATATGTGGCGACCAGTACAGTGCCCTATTAAGATATATAAAACATACATTAGTACGGTTTATATGTATCTTAATAGGGGCACTGAACCACATATACATATATATATATATTATGATTTATTTATAAAATAATAAATCCATAAAATTAAAACTTCCTTTGCCTCACTCTCTAAAGTTTAGATTCCTTTATTATTTATTTTATAATAAATAACAATGTATATACGTATATACATTTA